TTTAGTGCAAGTTCTTTTTTTCTTTCTTCTTTTTTTCTTTTTGGTGCAGTGCAAGCAGTCATGCTATCAGTTCTCCGCTGTTTATTTTCTTTCCATTCCTGTACTTTATACTTAAATCATGTCTTTTTTTAAAAACAGAATCTTTAAATTTGACAAAATATGTAAATTGACACATTGTGTTTGGATTGCATGTTTGATTATATGTATGTAGGCTTTAATTGAAAGAGGTGGAAAAAGCCCTCTCAAGTTGTCCAGAGGTCTTACCTTCATGCAACGTGGTGTGGGGGGAAAAATGGATCAGATGGACAATCTTCCACCCAGCCAGAATGCTCAAAACTGGGTTGAAGGGGAAGAAGCTGATACATCCCACAAGTATACGGCTGCCACACTTTTGCCACATGCCAATTGAGCCATTGTTTGCATGTTTAGGATAGGAAACATCTCACCCTCCAGATGCTAATGATCTGCTGCTCCCATGAGCCCTAGCCAGCATAGCCAAGCACTGAGGTATCATGGGAGCTGTGGTCTCAAATCTGGAGGTTTTCCATCCCATATTTCCAAAGATACCCATGGAGGGAACTGCATTTTGTGGGAAACATGGAGCATTGGTTGAACCTCAGCCCCAACTCACATGTTAAACATTGCTGGACATGAGTTCTTGTTTTTGCTAAGTTCCTTTTGTGCTTTTGGTATTTAAGGAGAGGAGGCTTCAAGCTTGATTAATGTGCTTATCAAAGAGAGTAAATATAATTGATCGCTTGCCTTTTGGCTGGAGCATAAGCTCCAATTGTTGCAGAGCCTCAAACCAACTCTTTGCTGTCCTGTAGGGTTTTGAAGCTCTCGCTTCCCTTTCTTTTATTTTATTTGTTTCAACTTTTTTTAAAACACTTCCATGCTTTTAATTATGGCAGCAATTGTTGGCAGTCTCAGAATCTCCTAGCGATTCCATTTAAAAGGGCTATTTTGAAGGGTCCATAACTCAGTAGTTATAATTTATGGTGTGCTGAAAGTTGGCAATTGGTGAGCCAATTTCAGAATCCACTCCGTGGGCTCTAAATCTAAATATGATGGCAGGAAATGCCTCTTCCCACAGTGGCAAAATACTATAGTGTTTCGGCTTCTTGAATTAGAGCTTTGTCACAAGCTGCTCACGGCCCAGCACGGCCCACAAATTTTTAACCAAAGATTTAATTTGGAGATAGAACGAAATCAAAGCTCAAGATTTAAATAAAGGTTAACAGAGGCAACAAGAATGGCCAAATTTCTCTTACAAAAGGCCTCCCTTGTCTTAACAGAGAGTTGTTTGGGAAGCTGCATTGCCCACATGTGGGAGCTTAGAAATTCACAGCAGTTCCATTAAGTTCAATGCATTCCAGACCATTTGTTTGCATTTTGGGTTTAATGGTTGAATGAACTGCCAGCCTGCTTTCCCCCTAACTGTGCTGGCAGGAACCTGAAAGAGCAATTCAGCTGTATTTCAGCTGAAGACTCTAGTATCTTGATTTCTTTATAAGAGAGTCAAAGGCTCATGTAAGGTGTGTTGATGTCTGACCTTAGTATAGCAAGCAGTCCCACAGCAGAACCTTAAGAATTTATTTTTTGCATCTGCATTTCACAAAATCCCCCAGCCAAAATGGCAGATGTAATGGGTTCAAGTAGTTGATGGTTTGCTTTATGAAGTTGAGAGCCAACCGTGGGATCATCGGTTCCATCTCTTCTTCCTTGTTAATTGTGTTCCCGCCACCTCTGCTGTCCCCTGCATTCCTAATGCTGACTGATCTTCACCATTAGCCAGTGGCGGATTTTCAAAATCTCTGCTAATACTAAAGCCAGTTGTGTGTTAACTAGAATTGGCATTTTGTTTGATAAAAGCTGCCTTAAACCATTGTAAGAAGGAGAATGTTAATAGAAAAGTGAGGGCCTTAGTGGAGAAAATATTGAAAAAGTTTGAATGTGCTTCCTTCCCTTGTTTTTGAAAGGAAAAGGAGGTAACCATTATCTCCCTCCCAGGTTTTCATAAACCATCGTAAGTGTGTGTGAAGGAGGAGAATATTGATAGAAAAGTGATGGCCTTCGTGGAGAAAATATTGAAAAAGTGTGAAGGTGCTTCCTTTCCTTGCTTTTGGAAGGAAAAGGGGGTAACCATTATCTCCCTCCCAGGTTTTCACATTCTTAGGAGTGCACCATTTTGGGCTGATAGATTAAGAATACCACGTGCTTTCCAGGTCTAAGTGTGAGTGAGGGTAAAGCTATGTTAGCCCTGCCCACATACAAAGGTTTAAATGGAAGGGAGGGGACAAGCACACAGACTCCCTTTTCCTGCATCCACTGTCTTTAGACCTTCATGTATGAAGTCCTGGAGTCGAGGGACTGCATGCAGGGACACAGCGTTCTAGTCTTGTACATACACCTCATGCGCTCATGCTTGCTCACCACTGAATAGGACCTCTGAATATGCTGGGATGCCTGCTGTTTCATGTATGAAGTCCTGTAGTTGAAGGACTGCATGCAGGGACACAGAGTTCTAGTCTTGTACCTACACCTCATCCACTCATGCTTGCTCACCACTGAATATAACCTCTGAATATGCTGGGATGCCTGCTGTTTTGCCTTGCAAAGAATTGCTAGGGTGCAGTCCTGCTGAGATGTTCATAAAGCATGTTGTGAATCAGAAGCCTATGAATAACAATAGAGGAAGCCCACAAACAGCCCTTCAGCTTGCCCTGTCAGCCAGTCCGCTCAAATTCAGCACTTCTGAATTTGGAAAGAGATAGCACACTGCCATCTTTGCAAAGTTTCATTGGTGTGGACCACACGGTTTCTGATTTGTCTCTACCTAGCAAGAATAGATTGCCAGGTTTTGCATTTAAGAATAACCTGGGAGTTTATTTTCCTGATGCCTGCAGCTTTGTTTGGTCTGGAAACTGGCTGTGCCATATTCTGAATTTGACAAGCTTTGCAATCTTTTTTTTGCAGAAGCTTTAAACTGTTCTTGATGTTCACAAATGTAGGAATCCTGTTGCTTACCATCATTTTTGTTGGCTGGAGGGAGGTGTTCTCGCCCCCCCCTCCCCAGTACTCAGAAGTGTGGGTCCATTATAGTTTTTCTAACTCTTGTGGGACAGCTGCTTCAGTTTTGTTGCTTTTACATATTTTCCTGGAGAGCTATGGTTCCTATTATTTGAAAGTAATAAGAAAAGAGAAACACCTAACATGAGAGGGATAACTAAATAAAAGAAGCCCTGCCTTTTTGTTTGCAAGAACTGTTGAGGACTGTTAATGATAGGCCTTGCTGGACAGCTCAATAGTTTAGGCATCTGGCTGAGGAGCCAGAGGTGAGGAGTTAAATTCCTCCCTGTGTCTCATAGACAGGAGCTCAGCTTCATGATCCATGAGTCCTTCCAGCTCTGGAGTTCTAAGATTGTAAGATTTTTGGAAGTCATGAGTTCATAGAGTCACTATGAAGTGTGAACAGCTTGGTGGCAATTAAGAACAACATAGGTTCCCATAACAAGTCTTCTGGCTTTATAAATTTTGCAGAATCCTTCATATTTCCTTTTCTAGGTGGACCTACCATGACTTCCTGAATAGGTATCGAGTTCTGATGAAAAAAAGAGATATCTCGAGAAAGGAAGACAAGAAGCTCGTGTGTAAAGCACTGTTAGAAAGCCTGGTTAAGGTGAGAAGCATTAAGAGTCCCCCCCCCATCGTCTCACCTGTGTTTAATGCTGAAATGTAGGAGCTCTGTAGACCATGTTACGTGTTATCCTGTGCACTTCACAGTTGACCAATGATGTGATCTTATGAAGTTTCTTTGCTCTCACCTCCCCAGAACTGGTCAGCTCTTCTTTTAAACATGAAAAATATATTTTTTAACATTCATGCATTAAACTGTCATGTTCATTCCAAGCTATGCATATTCACTTACAGCAGGTGGTTGGTACTTTCCCCTATGCATGTGATACTGCCCAGATGTAGATTTTTCCCAGGCTGTAAGCTATTGCCCTTATTGGAATGCTATTGGTAGAATTATATCCCCACTTCATAAGGCAACAAACAGAAGCAAATAAAAAATCTGGCATGATAATGATTTTGAAAGTGCCAAAAGGATTTTAAAAAGAGAAGATTTGAGGCTGTGTTTGGTATAATAGATTTCACATAGATGTTGTACTTGTTACTACCTATACGAGGAACGAATGAAATCCAGCCCTCTGGGTATTGTTGGACTGGAGTTCCCATCAGCTCTGCCCAGCACACCGCGTGGTGGAGAATGCTGGGAATTGTCTGGCAACAGTTGGCAGGTTTGCACTTTGCCCATCCCTGTTCTATGCCATGACTTTGAGTGTGACTACATGGTCAACTACTGCAAAATTTGCTCCGCTTATAAAACGAGTGACTTCAAAGTATTTTGCACTTTGCCCATCCCTGCTCTATGCCATAACTTTGAGTGTGACTACATGGTCAACTACAGTACTGCAGAATTTGCTCCACTTATAAAACGAGTGACTTCAAAGTATTTTTTACTGACTGCATGACACAAAGGATGATTCAAATCGGTCCAGCCTTTTTTGCTGCCAAAGCAGCTCCCACCCTCCCGCTGCTGCTAGGGAGGCTTCTCTGTTTTCAAGCTGAAATTATTCAAATGGGATTTTCCCCCATGTGGCTAGTTGTGATACATTTCAGTGACATAGGCAGTTGGGGCATGTTGTTCAGGCCCAGGGAGACACATCCCTGCATTAGAGATGGGTGCCCACTCACAGGCAGCACCTCGGCTTCCCTTCCCTGCCTCCTCTGTGTGCTGCCTCTGCATGGATTGCCTGCCAGAGGAGGCAGGGCTGGGAAGCACCGAATACCTGTTCGTCAGAAGGATGAACTGACACAAATGACCCAACCAGTGGTTTGTGTTCATCTCTACCCTGCATTCTTTCCTCTCCACCATTTGGCCTCTGAATTTTTTTAAAAAGGGGAGGACTGTGGACTTGAATGTGACTCATGTCATATCCAATATGAGTGGTGAACTCCCAAATCAATCTGCAGCCCCTGTGTGAGCACTGCGTTAGATTTCAAATGTAATACAGACTGCAGCTCAAATCTCAGCAAAGTGTAGTTGCACCTTTTGTAAGAAAGGTGGAAGCAGCCTTTTGAGGATATTTGTGATCTGCATCAATGTAATACCTTTGCTTCCTTTCATTCAGGTGTAAAACTTGCCATTGCAATTCCTATAGGCAACCCTAACTGCTTGTTTTTCTTAAAACCTTTAATGCTTTCTTATGTTTTGGCAAAGGATCCTGACAAGTTCCAGTTTGGCCGTACAAAAATCTTTTTCCGCGCTGGTCAGGTGGCATACTTGGAGAAATTGCGGGCAGATAAGTTCCGTGCTGCTACTATCATGATCCAGAAGACGGTACGAGGTTGGTTGCAAAGACTCAAGTACAGGAGGATGAGAGAAGCAGCAATAACAGTCCAGCGGTACACGAGAGGATACCTGGCACGCAGGTGAGCCTAAGATGCATCTTTCCAAGAGAATTGGCTGCTGTTACAGATGTGCTGTTCTTTAGCAGTGGTAACATTGAAAGTGAGGCACTTTGCTATTTTAAAGTAGGGATGGATAAAGTATGGTTGATGCTTGTTTGTTGAAAAAGGCTTATTTTCACTTTTGGAGGCCTTCAAGATTGGCAGTTTTCATATTAGGAACCAGAGCAGAGGCAAACAACTGAAAGATTAAAACTGTACGTGCTTACTAGGGTCTTCCTATAGTTTCTTTAATGGCCCCCTTCATTAGTTTAGAGGCCCTGAGCGGCCTAATTTGACTCCCAAGCTCACTAAAATCACCCATGCCCGTTTTAAATTACAATCAAATTCATACAGATCTATAAAGCCCTTATGTACTTAAAAGGGCTTTAGCAAGTACCATCCTACTCCTACCCCTTTTAAAGTCTTCTTTGGAAGCTGTAAAGGAGGGGGAAGGTGGTTTGTCTATTTCAGGGGACAAAATTCAGGGACAGGAAATTCATCATCACCCCTACGGGGGGTTCCCTATGGGTACAATGAGTTCCTGACATAGCAATTCTGGTGAAAATATAAGACATAAGACATAAGAAATTTATTTGTCATTGCACTCACAAGTGGGTGCAACAAATGAGGTGCTCTTCCCCAAGGTAAAACTGGACAACACCACTACAAAAAAAAAGTTAAAAATATACACAACACTCACCATACAAATATAGATACCTCGTTTCTCCCAGCAGTGGTAATCCTAACTAGAATAAACCCTTTGAAATTAAATGGGATCTAGGCTAGGGATGATTGACATGTCTCATTCATTTCAGTGGGGCTGCATTAAGCAGAGTTTAAATAGGGTTTAGCCCATGGTGGCCACCATCAATTGAACTTGTTTCTCAACACTGATACACTTTAGAGCAGCCAAAGTGTACCTACCCATTAGTAATTCTATTAGTGCTCCATAGGAATTATACCTGCATTATCAATAAAAAGGTAAAGGTTCCCCTTGACAATTTTTGTCCGGTCGTGTTCGACTCTAGGGGGCGGTGCTCATCCCTGTTTCCAAGCCATAGAGCCAGCGTTATGTCCGAAGACAATCTTCCGTGGTCACATGGTCAGGGCGACTTAGACACGGAACGCTGTTACCTTCCTACCGAGGTGGTCCCTATTGATCTACTTGCATTTGCATGCTTTCGAACCGCTAGGTTGGCGGGAGCTGGGACAAGCGACGGGAGCTCACTCCGTCGCGTGGATTCAATCTTACGACTGCTGGTCTTCTGAACCTGCAGCACATGCTTCTGCGGTTTAGCCTGCAGCGCCACCACATCCCACGCATAATCAATACCTGCAAACAAAACCTGTGTTTATGACTGATAACAAATCACAAACAGAGCAAAAGAACAATAATACTAATCTCAGAACTGGATGGGACCCTATGGATCCTCACGTTCAGCCCCTATCAAGGAGGCCCAGTAGGGAATCGAACTACCAATCTCTCGCTTCACAGCCAAAAACCTAAATCATTGAGCTTATCCAGCATTTGAAAACCATGGGAAGTATGTGAAGCTCCTGCTGCAGTAATAATCAGACATTCTTGGCACTAATGGAATTACTCCTTCTGATTGCCCGTAGTGTATCAGTCTCTGTGGAAGAACTTGATAAGAGAAGTTATATAAAGAATTATCAATGACTCCTTGCCTGCTTGTCCAGCTAATATTTCATCTATGCATTTAAGTTACCTGCTCTAACTTTGAAACTTACGGTTTGAGAGTTTATGCCTGTCTTGAGGTGTGTGAAAGTTTTTTCTCTCCTGAACACTGGCACGTCTAAGCTTCCTGTATAATAATACAGTGGGGTCTCGACTTATGAACTTAATCCGTATTGGAAGGCAGTTCTCAGGTCGAAAAGTTCTTAAGTCGAATCTGCATTTCCCATAGGAATGCATTGAAAACCATTTAATCCGTATCTGCTCTTTTCGTCCATAGAAACTAATGGGAAGCTGCTATTCTGCCTTCTGCCACTAGAGGGGGATATTTTTTCTTTTTTTCCTTTTAACCTAAGATGACTTAGCTTTGAAAAAAAGGAAAAAAAGAGTTTGTAACTCGAATCTGAGTTCGTAAGTCAAGTCCATATATTCCTATGAGATTTATGCCTGAGGTGTGTGAACGTTTTTTCTCTCCTGACATTGGCACGTCTGAGCTTCCTGTATCATCTTTCATCACATGATTAAAACCAGGGCACCTTGGAGGAATCAAAGTCCATTGGAAATTTCTTTTTTTCCTTTTAACCTAAGATGACTTAGCTTTGAAAAAAAGGAAAAAAAGAGTTTGTAACTCGAATCTGAGTTCGTAAGTCAAGTCCATATATTCCTATGAGAGCGGTTCGTAAGTCGAAACGTTCGTATGTCGAGCCATTCGTAAGTCGAGACCCCACTGTAAACTCATCTTTCATCACATGATTAAAACCAGGTCACCTTGGAGGAATCAAAGTCCATTGGAAACTGGATTAAATTCCTTTTCCTGGTCTCTTCAAAACATAGGGTAAATCATAAAATGCAGTGAAGCACTCTTTTAAAAAAATGTAGTTTTACGCATATTTATTGAGGGAGATGCAATAATGAGCTGGTTGTAAATTCCCCAAGTAAAGGCTGTCAACTTTGGTGGTACACAAGGATATGGAGTGCATCCTAAATTAAACACTGCGTTGCAATAGCTTGGAGTCATACTCCCTGATGTTGCCAAACTAATGCACGTTGCTTTAAATGTCAAATCAATTTGCTGCTTTTTTTGCTGGACTTTTTGTAGCCAGTAGTTTCTCTGCAGTGTACTTTCTTTTGATGCTTGGGAACTGGAAGAGCTAATCTTGATGAGGATGTCATTCAAGTTTTGAAATGTAAGTTCAGAGCACACAACCTGAAGAGAAATTGAATAAATGCATGTGCTACTTTTAGAATATGTATCTTGAAAGGACATAAAGAACTTACCATACACTGCGGCCAAATTTTTGCAAGCTGACTGGCAAGGCTAGGTAATCTGTTATGCGGACAAGAAAAGGTATTCTTGTCCCGTGTACTGAATTTAAAAGTCTATCTGATAACAGTCTTCTAGGTTCCTCTTTCTTTTCCACTCATTAAAAATTCTTGAGCATTAAAAAAAACAAAGATTTAAATAGAGGTTTGGTAACATGAAAACTGAATAGCAACAACAAATTTAGCAACTGCTGCAGAGAAAAAAAGGATTTTTATCTAACAGCGTAGGAACAAGGTCTCCAGCCAAATTCCACTGATGTCTTCACTGGAGCTGACGTCCGTGTAGAAGAGAGTTTCTGCAACAGGCAGAAGCTTTCATGTAGAAATTTAGCTGTTCTAATGATTAACATGGAACTGAGATCCAGGAATTCCATGGGTCTAGTATCGCTTTGGCAAAGAATTTCACTAGATAGCATTAGGCAAGCCACTATAGATATGAGGTGTGCATAAGAATTTCAGGGGCTGGTAAGAACTAGTTTTTTTTCCAAATCCTATGATCAGCAGCAGATATTTGGCATAATTCAGAAATTGTATGCAGAAGTTCCTGGATTCAAGCCCCAACATCTCCATGTCGCGCTGCAAAAAACTCCCACTTGACTCCTTGGAGAAATGCAGCCAGTTAAGTGTTGAACTGAATGGACTCATAGCTTCAGTTGGGATGTATGTCCACTATACAGTAATAGCAGTTTGATTCCAGTTTAATGCCCTTGGATCTTATGGATCATTTGATTCAGTATTTAGAATTCCTTCCCAAAATTTTCTAGTGCACCTCCCTGAATAACAGCAGAAAATTCTTAAGTCCCTCACCAAACTACAGATCCCAGAATCCCCCGAGGATGGAGCTATGGCAGTTATAATGTATTCTGACTGCTGTAACTCTGTAGTCTGTGCTTTCAGCATAAAGCAGCTTTGTGCATTCCTATGGTCTTACATTCCTCAAACCTGGACAAGTAGGCAAAGCAGCCCATTTTCAGACTCTGTTTTCTCGTTCTGCAAAAATCAGAAAAACAACCAACAAGTTTCAGAAACGGAGCATGAAAATGTAAACCCTGTTGGAGTTGCCGCTTATTAATTTCCAATAAGGGTGACAATTCTGTGTCTGGAAATACAGTTTTATGCTTCTAAGTTTTGTTAGGGGCATTCTTAGCTTCATTCGCTTTCTGTCATAGAGTGTGACAGAACTCAGGTGGTGAGTACCACTCGAAATTAAGAGTAAGCTGGAAGCATGTTCAAGGGAAGGGTAGCTCAAGAAGGCAACCCACCCATGCGTGAGAACTGGGCATACTCAATAGACCAAGGGGGAAAAAGAATGTTGAAAAAGAAGACTTAGGGGGATGAGATGGAGTGTTGTAGAAGGGAGCATGCTGACTGGAAACCTGAACAGGAGCACAACGTAGTTCTGCAAGTTTAATTCCGCGTCCCATCTATAGTTGTTAAATATCTGCCCATCCGTGCTTTTTTATAGATTGGCTGATCGACTCAGGAAGACAAGAGCAGCCATTATTTTCCAGAAACAATATCGAATGTTGAGGATCCGCCGCGCTTACCAAACAATCCGTAGAGCTGCTGTCACGATCCAGGCCTTCACCCGGGGGATGTTTGTCAGGAAGACTTATCAAAAGGTGTGCTTGATGGTTTGAAAATGTCTATGTCTTCCAAACACGCGCAGCTCCAAAGTTTCCACGTCAGCTTTGTGGCTGCAGAGGTCCCTTTTTGGCTTTGGCTTTCACTGAAAACAAAGAGAACCTTCTGAAAATACTCACCTGACGGCACCAGTACTAGACAGGGTCAGAAATGGAGAGTGGGAGGAGGTGAAAAATCTGGAAGAGTCCAGGCAGCCACTTCTAGTTTTGATGGTGCATCAGAAAACAATACAGTACAGCTAAACCTTTCTAAGGTTTAAAAAAAACAACCCAGGTACAGTGGCAGGGAAAGAAAGACATTTTTCATCTATCCCTCTGTGTTTGGGGGATTATGGTGCACTGGAGTGCTTTGAGGGGCTGCAGAAATACCCTGGGGGGGACTAATTATGGTCTCCAGACAACATTTCACCCCCTCCTGATCTGAAATATCTGCATTTTAGATTAGTTGTGGCCTTAGCATTTCTCAAGATTCTATTACTTGCACTCACTGGTTTAAGTCAAGTAGTGTAATGTTTGTATTTCTCGTACTCTTGCCAGGTTATGTGACTGGTGGGCAACACTATATACAAGCCACAGCTTCTTAATTACCGGTAATTAATCACTGCAGCAATTTAGACCTTTTGAGTTCAATTAGCAGGGATAAGTAATATGATTTTTACCAACATCTCTGAGTCTTAGAGGCTGACTAGACAGGTGCAGGAACAGGCTGGTTTGCTCTTAAAAACGTTTTCGTTGGAGGAAACCATCCCACATGTATCAAGGCACCCTCTAATTTTCAGCCCCCAGGGCGGGGCTCCACCTCTCTCAGGTTCGACTCTGCCCCTTTGTGCAGACGTGACTCCGCCTCCCCCATGCAGGGTTCCGTTGTGACTGGAATCAAAGGGGCTGAAAATGATCACTGCATGGAGGGAGGTGGAGTTGTACATGCTCAGGCAAACGCCTTAAATGTATGCCCCCCTATGCATACATTTCTGATCCCCTGTCAGGAGCTTCCACTTTTTTTGGTGGAGTTGGGATTGTTCTGGTTTGGATCAATTCCAGCACGTATGATTGCTGGAACCGATCCAAAGCAAGCCCTCCAGTTTGAATTTGAAAGTACTAATGAAATGGCTCAATAAGCAAGCTACTTCAGGATATTGGCAAATTAATCACTTCCTCTGCTCCTTGGCAGAGTGACAGGAGAAATTTTTTTTACTGTATATGGACTATCACTTAAGTGCTGCATCAGTTATAAAAATCATTTTAATTTTCTTCTTTTTTTGCCCTATCTTTAAGGGCCAGTCAAGAAACCACCTGCAGCTGAATCCACAGTGGTGTCTTTGGTTGTAAGCAGTTTGTCAACTGACACTTTAAGAGCAGGCCAAGAAAAGATTTTAAAAAAACGGATGCTGTACACCAGTGACAGCCCATATATAGTCAAATCAAACAAAATTCAGAGATTAATTTGCCAATATCCTAAAGTAGTCAGTGAGAGCCCATATATAGTCAAACCAAACAAAATTCAGAAATTAATTTGCCAATATCCTAAAGTAGCCCACTTATTACGCCACTTATTATTAAGCCAAAACAGTTTCTGTGTGAACAGAGGGCTTGGTTAAATCACTGTAATCAATCCCAACTATTCCAAAGTGCCACACATTAGCTTGCTCTCTTAGACTAATTGCTAATAGAATTACATTGCTAATAGAAATGCAGGTTACAAAATGATGTGGAAGCACACCAGGTATTGGGACCTCACAAAGGAAGTTACATGAGGAAGTGCCTTTTATTTGGCCAGACTATCAACCCATTTAGCCTGATATTGTCTGCTCTGACTGGCATCCACTGCCCAGGATCTCAGGCACAGATGTCCCTCACACATGATACCTGACCTTTCTAAATGGAAAGTCTTAAGAATTGGATCTTGAAGACCTTCATCATGGAACACAGGTCGCCTACTCTTAGTCATGACTTGGAAAAGATGTGTGTTTGGAATTTTTCTTTTCTGTTTTCTGCTAGAAGTCCAAACAAACAAACAGACCAATAACTTTTCTAAGATTTAGCTGTGGTTCCCCTACCAATAAATGTTTGGCTGCATATCATGGAGAAGAGACTTCAAAGATTATGAAAACTAGCCTATGTTTCTGGTTGTTAATGGTCCATATGTTTTATTTTGCTAGACTTTAGGCCTGATATTTCATCCTCCTCCTTTAGAAACAACGCTTAGGCTTGGGTTTTTTTAGCAATTCTGAGAGCGAGGTCTGAAATTTTTCCTACCCAGCTGTGTTAAGTGCAGTAGAATAAGGGGGGGAGTGAAATGGCATTGAGTGGACTTGTGATGTACAGTAGTACCTCGGTTTGCAAAATTAATGCATTTTCCAGGATGTTGGGTAAAGCGAATTCGTAAACCAGAACATGGATTGCCATAGGAACGGGGGCGGTGCTACAAACCTCCAGGCACAATGCATCCTGGGGAAACTTCCTTCGCAAACCAAAAAAAAAAAAGTAAACCAAGGCATGGTTTTCAACGGATTTCCATTCGTAAACCGAACTTCCTTCACAAACCAAAAAAAAAAGAGTAAACTAAGGCATGGTTTTCAACGGAATTCCATTCGTAAACCGAAAATTACATTAACCGAGACGTTTGTGACGTTAAGCGAGACGTTTGTAAACCAAGGTACTACTGTACCTCAGAAGTCACACGGAATATGCAGCAGACACCAATAGCACTAGTGAACCCATAATCCAAGAATGCAACATAGGTATGGTAGTTACATACACTTGCATGTAGTCCAGCTCTTATGTCTGAGGAACTGGGCTTGCAGTTAATTTTTAAGGTGCCACAACATTTTTGTCTTCTCCATGTTTTATTTTTATTTTGGTTTTGCCTGAGATGCTAGCACAGAGTAACACAGCTACCTCTTCGAAAAGCTAAACCGGAAACACTGTTTTCCATCAAGTGCATTTTAAACCACCTCACTGTGGAAACATCTGCCCCACTCCCATGCTCTGTATCGCAGAGCCTATGTAGCCCATCTCAGTAGCCGCACTGTGAAAAGCCTAGCATATACCTTGTCCAGCCACGTTTAGGGGCTTCCTTCCACATGTATTTTGAATGTATTAATTTCCTGTATATTCAAAAAGGAACGGAAACAACATAATCTCATTTTTCGTTGTAGTCCGTTTCAGTATGTATACATTTTTGCTTGGAATAGTCTGAAAATAGGGACGTGGTGGCGCTGTGGGCTAAACCGCAGAAGCCTGTGCTGCAGGGTCAGAAGACCAAGCAGTCGTAAGATCGAATCCACGCGACTGAGTGAGTGCCCGTCGCTTGTCCCGGCTCCCGCCAACCTAACGGTTCGAAAGCATGCAAATGCAAGTAGATAAATAGGGACCACTTCGGTGGGAAGGTAACAGCGTTCCGTGTCTAAGTCGCACTGGCCATGTGACCACGGAAGATTGTCTTCGGACAAATGCTGGCTCTATGGCTTGGAAACGGGGATGAGCACCGCCCCCTAGAGTCAAACACGACTGGACAAAAATTGTCAAGGGGAACCTTTACCTTTACCTTAGTCTGAAAATAAGTGGTTTGTTTGTTTGTTTGTTTAATTTATTTGCCTATTTATTCATTTCAAAACACCCACCATGAGGCTTCATCTTGCCAGCTCTCTTCTTTTTTTCCCAGGTCACTATTCCTTCCCTTCCTTCCTTTTCCCCCCTTTTTTTCTTTCTGCTGATCTGGAGGCATACACATTTTCAGATTCCAAAAGCAGTAGTTCTTTCAGTGTTCGAGCTACACAGGCAGAAGCCATTGTTCTGCAGCCCCTCAGAGGGCTAGCTTAATGAAGCTGTTTGCACTGAGAGGACCCTCAAGGCAAAAGTGGAAATCTGGAAATGTCATATAATATCAGCCACTCAGTGAAGTGAACACTTACCTGACAGAAGAGTGTTTTTCTGAGTCATATTTGGAAACACATCCTTCTGGTGAAGTCAGAAGTGCAATTGGTACTCATGAGTCTTCTGTGTGCAGTGGACAGTGTTTATTTCCTGGTGGTGGCTTTGTATCCACAGGTAAAGGTAAAGTTCCCCTTGACAATTTTTGTCCAGTCGTGTTCGACTCTAGGGGGCGGTGCTCATCCCCGTTTCCAAGCCATAGAGCCAGCGTTTGTCCAAAGACAATCTTCCGTGGTCACATGGCCAGTGCGACTTAGACACGGAACGCTGTTACCTTCCCACCGAGGTGGTCCCTATTTATCTACTTGCATTTGCATGCTTTCGAACTGCTAGGTTGGCAGGAGCTGGGACAAGCGACGGGCACTCACTCCGTCTCATGGATTCAATCTTACGACTGCTTGGTCTTCTGACCCTGCAGCACAGGCTTCTGCAGTTTAGCCCACAGCACCATCACATCCCTTTTTTATCCACAGACTTGGCCCCAAAATATACTTCATTCACAGGAAGCCTGCCATTAGAAGCAAGCCATTCATTAGTGAACCTGTTCAAGCAAACCTTTGTGTATGAGCCATCATACTTGGAAACGGAGCTTTTGCTTACTTTCTTTTGACCAAAGACGAAACAAAATAAGCTATTTTGCATGCTACAAGAGGTGTGAAAAGCTTTTCCTGTCACAATCAGATGTTTTCAGTAGTTAAGTAATTCCCTCTTTCTAGTTATCAGTGATGTGTAATACATATATAATCTGGCCCTCATTTACTGGTAGCAAAATTTATAAACTGGCATCTGTCCTTTCCTTCAATTTGGATTTTTTTCCCCAGCACTCAAAATGATGTTGGGACTGTTCATGCTCACCATGGTCCCCATGTTAAAAAAAAATAAAGAAGAAAAACCTAGCCACTGTGAACTGTCCATTCATACACATGGACAACCTTTCCAGATCAAGTCTTGAGAAGTCTCAGTATAATGACATATTTGACATATGTTCATTTAGGGAATGCTGGAAATGTGAATCTGTATGCACCACCCAGAGGTACCACAAGAACACAATTTCAGTACTCAGCAGGCTTGGTGAAAAATGTCCTTTTTTAGATTAAAAAATTCCAAAAAACCCTAACCAGCATGGCCTGTAAGGCCAGTTTCTCAAAGCTGTAGTCCAAAAAAGGAACTTTTCTAAACTTTGAACCAGTTAGATAGTAGAGTCTTGGGTAAGTTGAGCCTTTGGTCTAGTCCAAGAAAGCAATTCTTATGTTCCTGTATCTTAACTAAGTTTTTTTTAACTATATTTATCAACAGATTGGAAACCTTGACCTCTGAGCGTTCAGCCTGGAGGCAGGCAGTGCATCATGGCCTCTCCCATTTTGAAGAGACCCTTGTCCAGCAGGCCGAGGCAAAGAGGCCGTCCCGAAAGCAGCCAAATCAGGGAGCTGGACAGGGGACAGATTGTATTTGTCTTCAGTCTGGAAGGGACAGTCACTCTCGAATTAGCCTCCTCAGCCACACTAGATGCTGTTCCAAGTTCTCCATTCAGAGCACGATACCATAGTCTCTCGAGATTGAAGGATGCCTATGATTTATTAATTAGGGTACAATCAACAGGCGTTCAGCCCACTGCTTGGTCTGCTGGGGAATAGACTGGTTTGCTCCTTTTTCCAAGAGATCACATATACTGTATTTTATCACTGGAATGAACCAAATTGTCTCCAGAGCATTACCACCTGCACCTTTCTGAGCCCTTATCAGGCATTCTCCTTTTATATTGATGCTGATAGGATCACTCTGGTTTGTTCTGTTTCTCGTGTGTTATTGCTGAAAATGGCCCAAAAGCAAACCTCTTGCCTGTCAAGGCCTTTTCTGGGTTTCTGATATCATGAAACTGTCTAATAAGCAAGCCATTTCAAGAGAATGGCAAATTGATAGAAAGTACAGTTAAATAGTTCAGGAACACCTCAAAAAGGAGATAAATTACAGCAAGCAGCAGAAGCGTCGATAATGTTCTTCAGTATTGTACTTGGGCTACAGCTCTGAGAAACTGGCCATACAGACCAGGCTGACTTAAGGGAGTTTTGGGAACTGTAGTCTGAAAAAGTATTTTTTTCCCCCTAAACCTTCTGAATATTGAAGTGAAAGAGGCACAGGATCTTGTGGCGTCTGTGAGTGGTGCATACACATTTCAAATTCCAGCTTTCACTGAACGAACCTATGTTACATTTTTCCCTGGAGGCTGAATTCTCCTGAGGGTCGTTTTTTACATTCCTGTGTTTTGCAGATGCTTATGGAGCACAAAGCCACTGTCATCCAGAAGTATGCCCGGGCTTGGCTGGCAAGGAAACATTTTGTCAAATTCCGAAGTGCTGCCGTGGTGGTGCAGTGCTACTTTAGGCGCATGAAGGCTAAGCAGGAGCTGAAGGCCCTGAAGATCGAAGCCCGGTCAGCAGAGCACTTGAAGAGACTCAATATTGGCATGGAGAACAAGGTGGTCCAGCTGCAGAGGAAGATAGACGAACAGGTAAACTCCCTGAATCTCTTTCCTACTGTGAATAAATAGACCTCGTGGATTGTTCAAAATTTTGAGCAAGGTGGGAATAGTGTGCTGGGGTCAAAGGTGCAGGAGAACCATGGATCGTAATGGGTTTTGCACTGGCCAACCGTCCTCTCCCCAGGTGCAGCTTTGAAGTCTCTAGCATTTTTGGAAATCATTAACCCACATGCACGCCTCATAGGTCTGCAAGCGGTCGTTAAGTTTTGGGTAATCTTTGTATGCCTGTTCCTACCGCTAGTCCCAGTCGTATGAATCATTTACCTTTGTTAAGAGTTGATGTTTTGTGCAACATTTCAGTTACTGTCCAGGACTGCCTGGAATACTTGACAAAAATCCCCAGTAGTATGAAAACCAAGGTTGGGGAAATTTTGGCCCACCTGGGATTGGTGGGACTGCAGCTTACATCTGTTAGTTACACTGGCTATGATTGGAGTTGCTGTCCAATTGGAGTTGCTGTCCAACAACATTGGGGGGGGGGGCACATATTCTCCACCTTTTTTCCTTAGAATATACCAGCCTTCCTCAATTTGGTTCCTTCCAGATCATGACTAGAGAGGATCATAATTGCGGTCTAACAGCATTTGGGGAAACCACATGTTCCCTTCCAATGATTCAAACAGGAAGTTAAGCTGTGGCGTGTAGCTTATTTTTGCATTTGATTAGTTCGAAAATTGGTGTGCCATTTTCTCAATTATAAATACCCGAGGTGGCTTGATATAAAAGCAATTTAGAAAAATGCAAATTCACAAAAACCTTAAAGGCAAGCAGCAGGAAGTCCACGCAGGAAGAACCAAGCAGATTCTAAAATGAAAATTGATAACAACTTCCCAATTATTGTTTGATAAACTCCTGTATATTAAAAAAGACTCAGTAAAGACCAGAGCTTATAAAATTAGCTTTTAAAAGAATATTGTTTTGTTAACATGGAACTTTGGGACAACAAGCTTGTTTGGCCAAAAAATGTAATTTATTGCACTATGTAAGTGGTTTTCCCCTTACTGGTAAGCTCTGGAAAGGAAAGGAAACACAAAATTACAAAAGACGAACAATACATCTGGTTAGGATTGATGTAAGAATGGTATAAAATTTGACAGTTGTTTTGTCAAAATGCATCTAGAAAAGCCTTAAAACACCTTTTAAAATAAATTTTTGAAAGTAGCTAGTAATAGTTGATTGTTACACCAGAATGATAGTTTTGTAAATATTCATTATGGTGGTTGTGGGTTTTTCAGGCTCTTTGGCCATTTTCTTAGGTTTTTCTTCCTAACGTTTCGCCAGTCTCTGTCAACGGCATCTTCAGAGGACAGGAGTCAGAACTCTGTCCGTGCTCTGGTTTTCAATGTATTCACTACATGGCTTTCAACGTGTTACATAATTGTACTTCATTACTCCCAACCGTAACTAGTTGTAGGTAAGGGAAGGACATTGCCTGTGATGGGTTACTTCCAGGCCCTGATAACGACTGTGGTAGATGAACTACAGTGGTTGCCCGCATAGCGAGCGTTCCGTTTAACGACGAATCCGCATAGCGATGTCGATTTTGCAATCGCATTGCGATGGTTTTAGTGGCTAAAAATCGCATTGCAATGATCGGTAAGCGTTACTGATTTTCACATTGCGATGTTTAGAAAACAGCTGATCGGCTGTTCCAAAATGGCCACCGGGGAAAAATGGCCCCCCGCAGCCTTTTCGCTCCCTTTTCTCGCTTACCGGGCAGCAAAAATGGCGGCCGGATGGAGGATTTCCGCATCGCGGTGAGTTTTTTCCCCATAGGAATGCATTAAACTAAGTTTAATGCGTTCCTATGGGGTTTTCTATCCGTTTAGCGATGTTTTTGCATAGCGATGATTAATTCGGAACAGATTATCGTCACTATGCATGGCACCACTGTATTGTTGAGAGCAAGGGTATTTTTGCTGGAAACATTTTATCTCCACTTACCATCCATGGTGGATGCAGCTCGGTTAAGCCCATTATGCTTAGAAATGGAACTTACCACAGTTTAGTGGTATGGTGCAGTTTCCACAGGTGTTTCATGGGTGCCCCAGATTCTGCACCCCATCTCCTCCCATGGGCACCGACTTAAAGGAATCAGCAGGGCAAGGAAGCCCACAACGCAGCTGCTGACAGGGCACCCACAGGAGGAGGCGGGCCACAGAATCTAGGGCACCTGCACAACACCTGTGGGTCCAATCCAGCCAAAAAAAAAACCCAAATTGTGGTAAGTGCCATCTCTAATTACAATTTCAAAGAAAGGACAGCTTCACCTGGAAGGTGGTCCATGAAAATATGGTGGAACATCTTACTACTTCAACAATTCATTATCATTTAATTACATTTTAATTTGTCCGTGAAGGGGAAAAGAAAGGAAGTGTAGCTTTCACCTTGGAGTGAAAACCATTAGGGCACCCACAGGAGGAGGCGGGCCACAGAATCTAGGGCACCTGCACAACACCTGTGGGTCCAATCCAGCCAAAAAAAAAACCCAAATTGTGGTAAGTGCCATCTCTAATTACAATTTCAAAGAAAGGACAGCTTCACCTGGAAGGTGGTCCATGAAAATATGGTGGAACATCTTACTACTTCAACAATTCATTATCATTTAAAGTTAGACATTTTGATTTGTCCCTGAAGGTGGAAAAAAGGAATTGTAGCTTTCACCTTGGAGTGAAAACCATTTATCCCAAAGTAAATGGTGGCACTGCGGGTTAAACTGCAGAAACCTCTGTGCTGAAAGGTCAGAGGACCTGGAGTCGTAAGATCAAATCTATGTGACAGGGTGAGCCCCCATCGCTTGTCCCAGCTCCCGCCGACCTAGCAGTTCGAAATTAGACATTTTGATTTGTCCCTGAAGGTGGAAAAAAGGAATTGTAGCTTTCACCTTGGAGTGAAAACCATTTATCCCAAAGTAAATGGTGGCACTGCGGGTTAAACCGCAGAAGCCTCTGTGCTGAAAGGTCATGTGACCTGCAGTCGTAAGATCGAATCCACATGACGGAATGAGCCCCCATCGCTTGTCCCAGCTCCCGCCAACCTTGCAGTGGACCTGGAGTCGTAAGATCAAATCTATGTGACAGGGTGAGCCCCCATCGCTTGTCCCAGCTCCCGCCAACCTTGCAGTTCGAAAACTTGTAAAAATGTGAGTAGATAAATAGGTACCACCACGGTGGGAAGGTAATGGCGTTCCGTGTCTAGTCTCACTGGCTACATGACCACGGAAGATTATCTTAGGACAAACGCTAGCTCCATGGGTTGGAAACGGAGATGACCCCTAGAGTCAGACATGACTGGACAAATTGTCAAGGGGAACCTTTACCTAAAACACCTGCTAGGAGCTGGTATGATGATAGGAAAGCACCTATTCAGTTGTTCTCAGCGGCAACTAGTTAGGAATGTGTGATACCTGCCTCATTATTATCAGAATAATCTCCATCTCATGGGGAAAATAACACCACATATTCAGGAGAGTTATTTGTAAAGGTGGCCATGTAATTTTTCAAAGGCAGGATTTTCATAACACCTGGACCATATTCTTGAGCCTGGCTACTGCTTTAATTTAAAAAGAAACAAAAGGAAAGGCTCTTGCATACTGTTTTGGAGCCTTTGCAACTGTGTGTATCATTTCCTCGTACATCACTACTCGCTCTTTTTTTTTTTTTTTTTTTTTTTGGATTGCCTGTAAAGAGAACTCTTTGTATGCTGTGAAATCAACTTTGCCATATCTCAGATACACATTATTACAACTGCACATTTACTTTGGAAATAGAAAACTGGAAATGTTTGTTCCAATATTCTTGCTGTCTTATCATGATACCCTTTTTATTGTGAGGCAAGTCGAAGCAGAAGCTAGCCTCCAAGGAAGTAGTTCCATAGAAGATACAGGCCAAAAGGGGCTGAAATTCAGTGCTAGGAAGGCAGACAAAATGAAGGACACCCACTTGGCTTTGGGTAGGACTGTAAATCCTCACTAGTAAATAAAATTCGCAATGGGGCAATGTTGGCTAGTGGGTACAATTGCTTTATCAACCCTGTGTTATTTTATAGGATGCAAACAATAAAACAGTATGCAGTGTGTCACCATTTCAAAAGAGTGTGAAGTTAGACAACATGGATAGGACCTCTGTATGGAGTCCTACTTTAGATCCTTCTTCCTAATAAAATTTCACAAATGACACAGGTGGTTTGCCTATGAGGAAATGAATACGTGCAGCTGCAAAACAGTCCAAAACTATCTGTGAACTGGAAATTCTCTAGAACAGCACACTGAATCATTATGATGCCTCCACCCCTAGTTATTGCTCTGGAAGTGGTACATTCTCTGAGGATGTTCCTGGAACTCTTAATAGAGATCTTGCAACTGTGACAACAAGGTTTTGTGCAAAAAAAGTGGGGTGGGGTGGGGTGAGGGTGCAAAAAAACCCAACACACCTTGTTTTGCATGAATCGTCCAATACGTAGGTGACAGCTTTGTTCCTTAAATGTAATTTGAAGCATTGTCTGGGTTGTTTCCATGATTCCAGTCCTTCTGTACTTTGGTATATATAGCTGTTTTTGTTTTCCAAGGGAAAGGATACTGGAGACTTTTGTGCAAATCAGAGAGACCTTAAAAGGAGAGAAAACAAATTCTTTGCCTTTGTTTAAGCTAGAGGTAAGGATTCTCATGGGTTTTAAAACTCCTCCGTGAGATTCTTCCTTCTTGAATAGGCTAAATCAACAGGAACAAGGCATTTAGCCGGTATCCTCTCCAGGTTACCAGCTGGAACCTCTAAAACAAGGGATGATCTGACTGAGAAAAGTCATCAGAGGATCATCAGAGGATGAACATGGTTCTTTCAGGGTGTAGTTGAATCTTCACCAACAGGTAGGATCATCCAGGTTCGCCAAGCATCGGAGGCCTCAGCTTCAGCCAAAAGGATCCCTTTATTGGTCCACTATGGTCCGGTGTCTTGACATCCTTCTTGGGGGTA